GGGGGGTGGACCCCTGGAGCTGGCGGGGGTAGCTGGGGTGGTCCCGGGGGCCCTGAGGGTGCAGGCCCCGTGGGGGGCATGGGTGGCAGAGGTAGGCCTCCTGGTGGTGGTGGTGGCAAAGACTCGGGCAGCGGTGGCCGAGGGGGCAGACCATTCATCAGCGGGGGTGGAGGCCGCTTCACCCCAGGGGGGCCGGCGGGGAGGCTGGGCGGAGCCGGGGGCTTCTCCATCTTAAAGTGGAACTGGAGGAAGAACTAGAGAGACGGAGAAAGGTTCAGCAGGCACGGGCGGGGCTAGGGCCACCAGGGTTGGGCAGGAAGGAGCCAAGCTCAGGGCTAGCCACTCACCTGCTTGGTCTCCCGGTTCCAGTGTGTCCAGAACTTGCCCTCCGCCTTGTCAATCTCTCTGCTCGGCACCTGGGAGGGCGGGGGACAGAGAGGGCTCCTGGTCCCTGTGACCTCAGGGTAGCCATCAGGCAGGGAGCCTGAGGCGTTAGCCTCCCCGCCCCGGACTCCACCCTGGGAGCCCAAGAGAAGGCCTCGGCCTGGTAAGACTTTCGATGGGCACAGGGTTCAGTTCTGGAGTGACACAGACCCGGCCTCAACGCTAGCACACGGCTGGCCCCCGCCCTGGACAGGCGCCATTTGTATTGTTTCCTGATGGCTGCTTTGTCCAGGCGTGGGCACAGGCTGTGGGAAGCCCTCCAGCAGCCTGGACCAAGAAGTGAGGTCACTTGGCGAAGGCCTCACAGGCCCAGCGCTCAGCCCTGCCGGCCTCCCTTCTCCATGGGCACAGTGGAGCCCAAGCAGGCCCCGTCCTGCAAAGCCCAATGGGAGGGGTGCCCTGCCCGGCCTGCACAGACCCTTCTGGCTCTGTCTCGGGGATCCCAGGGGACCCCACAGCCTGATAGGAGGGGCGCCCTGCCCAGCCTGTGCAGATCCTTCTGGCTCGCACATCTCAGGGGGCCCGGGGGCCCAGGGGACCCCACAGCCATGCTACCTTGAAGGCGATGGTTTCATAGGGCTCAGCGGCCATGAGCAGGTACTGCCAGCGCCGGTCCGGAGGCTCAATCCTCTGCTCGTACGCAGACATGAAGCGGTGGCGTGGCATGATGCCCTCGGCGATCTCAGGGTAGTCGATCTGTGGGGACACAGCCGGGTGGCAGCGCCACCTTTCAGGTGCCTTCGGCCGCCCCCCACACCCAAGCCCCTGATCTCACCTGGAAGAGGAGGCTCTGCTGGCCCATCTCCGAGTCCCTCTGCTTGGTCACTGCAACACAGAAAGCTCTCAGGTCCCGGCTGCCTGTCCTCCCCAAAGCTGAGGGACCTGGGGCAGGCTAATGCCACCCACTGAACGAGGGCGAGACCCCAGGGGAGGCCCTGTGGCTCCAGGCAACCGCCAATCTCCGCCCAGGCTCTGGGACTCTGGTATAGGTGAAGGCACAGGTGCGCCAGGGCTGAGCTACCTGCGGAGTCACTCGGGCAGGGACCGAGGGTGGCACTCCTTTGTCCTAATCCCCAGAGCCCTTCACCCAGGGTGCTGGGACACTATCCAGCAGGAGTCGGGGCCACTGGGTAGGGAGCGGCCCTTGGCACCCTGGCTCTGGGATTAGAGTGGGGCCGCCTGAACAGGGCCAACACCATCTATAGGGTGAGCGGGAGAGGATGCCTTTCCCACCAGAGCTCAGCAGCCTGGACC